CCCCCCCCGCTCCCGACCCAGCCACCTCTCGATTGACTTGCCATGATTCTGATCAGCATCGCCATCGGGACCATCGCCATCCTGTCGGCCCTCTCACTGACGGCGGCCGTGCTCTTCTTTGTGCTGGTCCCAGCATGTGTGATCACTAGTTTGCGGTATCTCCTGCGGCTGATTGGCAAGACCGGCCGCCGGCACCGGATCGGCCGACCGAATGACCCGGTGATCGGCTTCTTCCACCCTTCCAGGAGCCTCGAATCCCGACCACATGTCCATGCGCTGCCCCTGCCGCCGTTCCTACTCACCCTCCTATCCCGTGGGCGTCACTCCCCAGCCATGGTGGCGGTGGTGGCGAGCGCGTCCTCTGGTCCGCAGTGGCGGCCATCCAGCGGGCATACCCAACGGCCGCGGTGTGTGTGTACACCGGTGATGTGACGGCCGCCGAGGCTGACGCGGCCGGGCGCCATGCTCCCGAGCACGCCCTGGATCGCTTCAACATCGATCTCCCGCGGCCAGTGCATTTGGTTCCCCTGGTGGCTCGGCCTCTGCTGAGTCCTCACCTGTGGCCCGTGGCCACGCTGGTGTTCCAAAGCCTGGCCGGTGCCTTTGTCGGCCTGGAGGCCATTTGGCGTCTGCAGCCGGACGTGATGATCGGTGCGTTGCCCATTCCACTTGCCGAGCATCCTCGCTTTTCTTCTGCCCCGGCGGCTGACAGCATTGCGGCACCCTCTGGCTTCTCTCACCCGGCGGGCAGACACCAGCGGCCACGCTTTTGCCTATCCAATCTGGAGCTGGGCCAGTGGCGGGGCCACTTGGGTTGCCTCCTACACCCACTACCCGGTGGTGTCTAGTGATATGCTCGAGGCACAGCGCGCCCAGAAGACCCTCAAGTCTCGGCTGAAGATCCCGTTCGTGCCTTCCCTCGCACCGTGCCTTTACCTGCGGCTACCCTTTCTCCCTCCCTCCCTGCCTCCCTCACACGCACACACAAACAACCACACCCGCGCGGCCACACATGCACACGCCTGGACAGGTATTATCGTCTGTTTTCCCAGCTCTATCGCCTGGCCGGGTCGTATTCCGGCTTCTCAATGGTTCGTGGATGGTGATCTGGCGCGTCCCACTGTCGATGGGGAGGGACGTCCCTCTAACTTTCACTCTCGTCTCCCTCCACGCTCTCCCCTCTGGCCAGGTCAATTCCACCTGGACATCCAATCATATGGCCGCCATCTGGCGCCAAAAGCCCACCATCGTTTTCCCCCCCTGTGACACGAAAACCCTGTCGGCACTGCCCTTGGAGGGGGACCCGGGCGCTGGGCGCCAGCCGAACATCGTGTATCTGGCGCAGTTCCGCCCGGAGAAGGATCATGGCCTGGTCTTGCGGGCTTTTGCCAAGTACCTTCAAGCATGGCTCGGAGCCGAGCAGAAGGAGGCCAATCCGGAGCTTGTGGACTACGAGGCACATACGGGACGTATGTCGGCCGCCTCTCGGACCGTTCGGCAGCGGGCCGCCCAGGCTGCTGGACTGGTGTTTATTGGCAGCATTCGTGCGGCGCCCCTACAGCGTCAGCAGGACATTGTCCTGCTGCGTGACCTCATTTCCCAAGCCCAGAACCTCCTTGGGCATTTCCCCCCGCGGGTGGGCGTGGCGTCCAGTCCTGAGGACACCAAGGCGGCCCTCTCGGCTCCGGTGGCTGGTCCTATGGTGGACACGCTGGATGCCTTGCTCCAGCGCCAGGGCTATTGGGATCACCTGCTGGCCAATGGCCGGGTGCGCTTTTTGGTGAATGCCCCCTTCGACTTGGTGGCCCGGTATCTGGGCCAGTCCCAGGTCGGCGTGCATGCCATGCGACAGGAGCACTTTGGCATCGGCGTTGTGGAGACCATGGCCGCTGGGTGCGTGATGGTGGCCCACGACAGCGGTGGTCCACAGGCGGACATTGTGGTCCCCGATGCCGGAGGGAACATCACCGGCTTCCTCGCCCGCACGCATCGGGACTATGCCCGGGCCTTTTCCCATGTGCTTGGCACCCTGGACGGGGCTACTCGGCGTCGGATTGCTGGCCATGCCCGGGCCCATGTCGGAGCAGCCTTCAGTCAGCAGCGCTTCGACCGGGCCTTCGTCCAGGCCGTGGCTCCAGCTGTGGATATCACCCTGGCCCGGATGGGCCAGGCGAGTTTGGCCCAGGCGAAGATCTAACGTGCGGGCAGGCCCTTACATGTATGGACAGCTGCTGCCTCTACACGAAAAAAAGTAATGACACTCGATCACCCACTTCTTGCTGCCTCCCTTGATATTGTGCATCACGGGCACAGGCGCGAAGCAGTCAAGGGACAAAGGGGAGCAGGGGGGGTGGGGGTG